GTTACCTCTTGTTACCTCGCTAACCCCTTATTCCCCGTGTTACCTTTTTTTACTCCTGCTACCCTTTTACTCACTGCCATTGCACTTTTTGGGAAACCTTTTTGTAATGCGCGTCCTTTTCAATGGCGTTTGATGTGTGCTCTGCTACTACGGAAACCCTGTCCCATACCAATAAATTTTTTCTTGTAGTGGCCTTTGTTATACATAACACATACATTTTTAGTTTTAACCTTTTAAATCCTACCTTTTCAGATCGATGAACCACAGGGCACCATTTCACAGGATGCCCTCCCAGGTAGGAAAACAATAACGGCCACCGGCTACGTTCGAGCTCCAAAATAGTTTATTAACAAAAGCTTCCCATTTAGCCTTGTTTTCAATTAGGCTTGGGTAAGGCTGGGGTCATCCTCGGAGACCCAGGGGCAGCTAGTCGAGACGATAGAATGTTCGCGGTGAAAGTTTACTGTAAGATTGAGAAGAGCTAGGGTTAGGGTAAAAGAAAACTTTCTCCTATCGTCCCGACTACTGTAGCTGCCCGTGGGTCTCCGATGATGGGCTAGGATTAAGTCAGAAATGGCCTTTTGTCATGTGCTATTTACCTTAAGGAATGTATCAACGTCCTCCTTCTGTCATTCGAAGGCCGTTTAGGCATCAGTAAGCATTGGCCTTTTTTGAGGATGTAGTTGACAAGGAATCGTTGCTGTTTTGAACTGCGCCATTGGACTGTCTGGGCGATCCAATTGACCACTACAGAAAATATCATAACATACCATAATGCTCTTTGTTTGTCACCCCAGAATTTTGCATAAGCATTGTTTTCAGTTTCTCTTGGGGCCATTTCATGGTATGTTATGGTATTTTCTGTAGTAGTCAATTCTCTGCGAACCTTGTAATAACCAGTAGAAGCGATAGATGATGCTCAATACTAGTCCGTGAAGCAAGAACGTTCTTGTCACAGTTGCATTTTCTTGCGTCGAGAAAGCAAAATGTCGGTTTACAGCTTTTTGTAAAAGCAGTGCTTGGAGAGTAACGCTCAAAAGATTGACGGCATTAATGTTTTTTTTTTTTTTCGCTTTTCGTTGACAGTGAGCACTGCACCTGAGGAAGGCTTTAAAGGTAAGGGATTATCTGTACTTTAACGATCGCCATTAAAATAGTCAATCACTGGAAATCCCCTTTGGTCAGCTTGTCACGTTTACACAGAGTATTATGCTTTAGTGGTTAAAGAAACCCATTTGGTAGGCTGACAAATGAGAACGGAGAGCTTTGATATAGTTAGAAACAGTCTTTAGGGTCAGCACTGAAGCACAGTGGTTAGTTTGACGTAGGTATCCAAAAATGGAGGGAAATGGGATCGAGGCTGACTAGACAATTCCACACACCAGAAACTATAAGAGGAATGGGTACAAGCTTTCGGCGCAATGATTTCTGGGATCGTTTGGGTGAACAAGCGTTAGTTATGATTGGTCGATGGTGTTCAAGGCAACCGTTAACCAATCATAAGTAACGCTTGTCCACCCAAACGCCCCAAAAATCGTTGCATCGAAAGCTTGTACACTTTCCCCTTATACTTTCTGGTGTGTAGCCAAAATAAGCAAGGATGCGAGGCCCACCTCTCTCCCACAAAAATCGACTAACGGCGGTGATTTCAAAATGACCTACCTGTGGAATTCCGGAATCCCGGGCTTTGGATTCCGTAATTCAGTTCAAGGAATCTGGAATCCCGCTAAAGATTGGTATCTGGAGTCTAAAGCTCACTGACATGGAATCCGGGATCCAATACCTGGAATCCAGAATCCACAGCGTGAATTCCAGCATCCACGACTGTGTTGGATTACCTTACACACGCACGTCAACCGGAAGTGGATTTTTTGCATACTTGAGCCGTAATTTTGAACAAATTTTTGGGCAGATCATCTCTATAAGAGTAAAGACACATATCAATACACATTTGGTAGCATCAAGGCATATTAAAAGAGAAAAACCGTCACTTCCAGTTGACCTGCGTCGCTCATAAACGTTGCTGCTCAAGCTCCATAATGGTTGTTATCTACTAAGTATGATTAACGAGTTGAATTTTCACTTAATAGGCACTGGATTACTAGGACACTTGTAAGAAAAAGAAGGAATGCTAGAATTGTCTCCGCAAAAGTGTTTCAATCCTTCAGGTAATCAGCAAACCATTTGAATCGGGGTAATTACAGTGGGTGAAAAATCCAGAACAATCACTTACAAAGAAAAAAATGAATCTTCCTTAATTTTGAATAAATACTTATTGCACTTGCGGTTGGGAAACATCTTCCTACTCAGATCTATAACAGGATTAAGCTACGTTCAAGACTTTCAGTGGTCTCCTTCGCGGTCGTTTTTGGGGTCGTCACGCAACGCTCCTCAGGAGCGTTGAGTGACCCAAAAAACGGCTACGAAGGAGACTAGACTTTCAGTGTTTTTCTTGAGACGTTAAGATATGATTTTGTATATGTCTGTATATAGTGGCAAGAAAAGAGAGAAGGATAAGACATGTGGCTCAACAAGCTATTTCTAGCAGCTGTTTTTAATAGCAAGTAAAGAACTAATTTATCTTTAGTTTAAGTCAGCTTTTTACGAGGTGTATTCATGCAAACGCTGCGTTTTCGAATGTTTGCTCAGACACAAAAGCGTAGCGAATACCCGTGGAAAAAAAAATCACGTTGAGAGACATCGTACACATGCAAAAAAAGCTGTCGACAGAAACTAGTCAACCCTTTAAGTCCGAATAGTGAAATTTCTCCTAACGATATCCATACATTTTCATGAGATTAGCTTATGAGAATTATTAAAATGATCACCTAAGGGAAAATACTTTGATCTTTTATCAAATTCTCTTAACTAATTCTTCAAGGAAATGTACAGAGATCAGTTTGGAGAATTTGTATGTGGATATTGGGGCTTAAAGGGTTAAGTTGAGCAAAAGGTTTTAAAATTTGTTTTATCACAAATTAAATGAGAATTGGATATCAGTACTTTTTGCTATAGTATTCATGTCGTTTCACGGAATTTAACTTATATTTGATAGGAAAGCAATTAGAGAGTTTAAAATGTAAAAAGAGTCAAGAAATGTACGTTTATTGACAACTCAAAGAGTGGAAATAAAGTAGTTTTAGTCGTTCTGACCGAAATGTCGTTGGATACTCAGAGGTGCGCAGAAAGTTAAAGGTGTGGTAAAACGGGCAACAAAAACCCTGCAACTTGTTTTGCAACATTGCTGCAAAACGAGTTGAATAGCGATTTTGCGCGTTTTACCACCCACAAAACAGATAGATAGATTAAAGATAGCATTGTTAAACGTATTTTAGTATTTAGACGGTAGATGTAGGCATATTTTTATCCCGCAAAATTTTTCATCTGTTCGGATTTCCTTGATGAAAGTCTAGTGATCCGAAAATTATAGGGATCAAAACTTACCTTTTGGAAAATTTCAGCCAGAAAAACTGAAGGCTCAATACAGGTTCGAACGTGGATACTAAAATGCTCCACATAACTATTAGTATTCAACTCGTTTTTCAGCAATGTTGCAAAACAAGTTGCATGTTTTTTCTGCACGTTTTACTGTCGCTTAAAGGGCCGAGTGGTCTAGGGTAACAGGACGTCGGCCTTAAAATTAGACACGCTTTGTCTGAAAGAACGCTACCCTGGGAAAAGAGAAAATCAAACATGTAGCCAGAGTCTCTTACAGGCCAACCACCCTTCCTACCACCCAACGTAGCAGAGCCAGCAATTTTTAGGATTCTTGGGAGCGAAATGGTATTTATTTTAGGAAGACTTCTGTTACTTTATTATTTTAATTTGTTTTTCAAATTTCTTCACCGGAGTGGAGAAACAAGAGCAAACGTGCTGTTAGAGATAATTTTGTTTCTTTCATCGGTGAGCATATATCATCTCTGCGCCATACTGCTATGCATTGAAACAACAAACAGGGTATCATTCTATAAACCAAATCTTTAATACTAACAACTTTACAAAGTTTCGTCTACGAATGAAGCAATAAAATGTCTCAAATGATAGTCAATCTCCTCTGTAATGTTTTATCTAAGATGTCCAAGAAAGGTTTGCGCCAGCTTGAACACAATGTTTTGACGATGACGATGTGAAGGGTGTTGTTACACAAGGAACGATTGGTGGGCGTTTCCTTTTTTGGCACAGGCTCTCGAACGCTCTTCTCTCCGAAATGTGGCAATAATCTTAACAATCCAACAGCTTTTTGTTATGCTGTAAAAGACGATTTATTTTGTTCATTGACTTGCCTTTTGGTAGGAAAATCACAAGAAACCTTATAAATGAAAATTGGGGTTTCCCATTGTAATTGAATCCCAGTAAAATAGTGGAGTGCTACAATGAAATGACAAGTACCAAGGAATACTTTCCTGGCTAACGTTTTATGTCGACGAGGTGGTTCTTAGCTTGGAGTCTAGATGGACTCTGTGGATGACGTCCTACGGTCCCACCATTGCAAATAAAACCTCTTCAGCAGTTAACTTTTACTATGCTGTACTAGTACTAGCTTTTGAGTCTGAGAGAAACTCTCGAGTGTGATCACTTTCTTCGTTTTGGGAAGCAGTCTCTTTACTGGTTTTGTTATGTTTGCCGGACAAGGCAAACACTTGGCTAATGAAGTATCCCGCTGGACACGAAATACAACAGAGCCAGTGATTGGTTTATTGAAACGGGCAAATACGGAACACTTGTTGAGAACAGTTTTGATGCATCACCGAAACGCCGCAGATGGTCTAAAAGAAAACTTCTACGTTGGAAAGAAATCCTTAGAGCGGTTATAGGGTGAGATTGCAAATTACAAGTTTAAAGAGAGATTTCCTTCTGTAACACTCCTTGTTAAACAAATCTTATCTACTTCGGAATCCATAACTTTGGTGCTTCAAGTTAGTTTCCCAGTTTCTCAGCGTTGTCGTCATCAGTCTGCAAAAGCGATATCTTATTAATTTCCATAACTTTGGCGCTTCAAGTTAGTTGCCCAGTTTCTCAAGTTCATCTACGTCATCAGCCTGCAAAAGCGATATTTTCTCGCCAAAATGTTCTTCGATTTTCTTCATGACTGTCATAGACCGCTGACCTTCAATAAAGTTGACGGCAATGCCGCTCTCGCCAAACCGGCATGTCCTGCCGATTCTGTGTAAGTATGTTTGGTAATCTGGTGTACCCGTGGGGTCAACTGGCATATCGTAATTTACTACGACCCTTACCTACAACAACAAAACAAAAATTATTACAACATCGTATTACTAAGGCCCAATCCTCACTAGCGTAAACGGTGCTGTGACGATAACGTCAGAAAGCAGTAAGTTAAATAATCCAAACAACTACGCGTGCTTCACAAATTTTGTTACGACTACAACATGACGCTTCCTAATTTCGCGTTTTACGAAGGACGCAAACGCAAGACGATGATGTTCTTTTCCTTTTCTGAACTTGCTTCGCAAGAAACTTTAAACATTTGCCTTATTTGACAAGATGGGATAAGAGCAATGAAGTTGGAAACAGCAGGGTGCAAGAAGAGTCAGTTTTACAAGCTACAGCTACAGCTTTACAAGCAAGTCGGTTTTACAAGCTGTGGCTAGCATATACTAGCCCGAAAGTCGTTTTGACTGGCCCGAAAAAATTTTTGACGAGCAGGATAAATAAATAATTAATTATTTTATTTTATTTTATTTTATTACACCATTAGTTAATTAATATTACCTGCTTTATTAATTCACTGTAGTAAGTTATAATTTAACGAAAGCTTTAGGAGCCTTCGGAGCCTTACTTCTAATGTCTTTTTAATGGTGTTTACCAGAATGTAGTAATTTAAGGTGGCTCGACAGTATTTTTGTAGCGACACCTTCCACTCTGAATCTCTTATATTTAGACAAATTTATCTTTACTGTAAAACCACTAATTTTTAATTTCTGAGGCTTCCTTCTCGAAAACAGCGATTAAACCACAATTCGTTTGTAGATTTTCTTTAACAAAATTTCAGTACAGCAATTGATCAGTGTACTATAAAACCCCCGAATTTCGTGTTCATTGAAAACTTTTTAAGTTGTCTAAACGGTGCTCGGACCTACAACACCCTACCGACAATCATCAGACAAGTAGAGACCCTCAGTGAATTTAAAATCAAGCTAAAGCGCCATTTTAAACAGTAACGCCTGCGGTACATGTTGCCTTTGTAACTTAATTAATGGTCTAGTTTTAATGTCTTTGTTTTTGTGTTGTGTCAGGGCTCCATTTAAACTAGCTCTGCTAAATTGGATGCCGCTGGATAAATATTGAATTTAAAAAAAAAACAAGAAACGTAGGCGCAAAATTGGGTAAATATTGAAGCGATGTCATAGATCTGGCTAAGTTTTTGCTCTGGTATTTCCTATTACAGTATCTCGAGTTTGGCACAACATCAAATACCCATGCAGCACGCGAGAATTTACCGCGCTTGGTTGCCCTCCGTAATCTATTCGCTATTCTATTCTCCCATTCTACAGCATCACCATATTAACAAATTAACATAGAAACACTCATAATGCCATCAACAAGAGAAAAGAATGCGAGAAAGGTCGAGACATTTAGTGTTACATTCATGAATTCAGTATAAACTTACGTCAAGTGAGACGCATAACCTCTAGTCTGACATAAAATGTAATGCGATACTTGCTTATTTCACTTCGTCAGAACAGCTTATAAAACGGTTACGAGTCCCTGATTTTCCTCAGGGATACACAGGTGGCCCAAGCTCGAAATATGACTATCGGCACTGTCACGTAAAGTTCGAAATATAAGGATCTGTATGGTGAGAAAAACGATTGTTCCTATAGTCGACGAATGTGAAAGGATTTGGCCATTATGTGGGTTTTAATTGAGCTGGTTTGTTCTCAGCTCAATTAAAACGCGTAAATGGCCATAGATCGACTCGGGAACCACACAGGAAGGAAGAAAAACACAGCTTAAGTGAGGTAAGCCGATTTTTTTTTTTTTTGTCAAATCCTTTCACTTTCGTAGACTTTAGAAAAATCGTTTTTTTTTTTTTCAACATACAAATCCCTATATTTCGAACGTTACGCAAGTGTGCCGATGGTCATATTTCGAACTAACAGGCCACCTATGGTAGAGCGAGCGAAATACGCGAGCACGCGTGAAATTCGCCACCCGCGAGGTAGGTGACACGCGAAGGAAAGAGAGCTCAACTATCTCCGAGCAAAATGAGGGACCATCGTAGTCTAGGCAGAAATTATGTGATTTGAATTTCCCCAACAAACTTCACTCGGCCGAACAGAATTTACTAGCCTCATAGCAAAATCCACTAGCCCCGGGCTATGGTACACGACTTTCTATGCACGCTGAACAGCGCAAATTCACGTCCTCTCTGTTGGAAACACGGCAAAGAAAGGGGTAAAAGCGCAAGCCCCACGATCTTTAGGAACCTTTGACTGGGTGGAGGGGACACAGAGGGCAAAAGGGAAGGGTATTCAGTGGTCTCGACTGATTTAAATGGCGGTCAACGCGCGCTGACACTTAGTTACCTGTTCACTATCAATGCCTATGAGGCTAACAGTTGTTATCAGCACTTTCTCCTTTCCCTCGCGGAATCTGTTTAATACTGCTAGCCGCTGTTCCACTGTGATCCCGCCTGACAACAGCGCTACTGAATGATCATCCGCTGTCATTTTTTCTGCTAACCAAGAGGCGGACTTCCGAGTCTGAAATTACACAGGCATACGTAAAAACATAGAAAGACGTTCTGGGGTTGCTAATATTTAAGGGAAAATCGTTTGAACAGCCACTAAAATTTTAGCCTGAGAAAACCGCCAACATTTCCCAAGGGCATCACGGGTTTCCCCGAGAAAGGACGTCTGAGAAACGAGCATAGAAATTCCATACTGGGGACTAGTCACTACCCAGGACTGGGTAGTGCTTCTGATTGGCTGAAGCAAATTTCCCACTGGGAACGACCATTCAGAAGCACTACCCGGATCTGGGTAGTGACACGTCATCAGTATGGAATTTCTTCCGTCGTTTCTCAGACGTCATTTCGCGGGGAAACCACGAAAATTTAAGCTGCGTAGCGATCGTTTTCTGGGGCGAGGGACGTTGGGGCTTAAGGAGCAAAAATGAAGCAGGAAAGGAAAAAAGGGAGAGCGAGGGAAGGACTTTTTAACACTTACGTGACAAAAAACGATACCCTGTCCAATAGACACAACGTGATACATGTTAGAGAGGGCCTGGAACTTGTCCTCTTCGTCACGGCACACCACATAGTACTGCTGGATATTTTCCAGGCTCTCGCGCTGCCGAATGATGATAAGGTCTGGTACTACGGTCTTGGCAAATTTCATCACCTCGTCGTCGCAGGTTGCAAAGAACAGAAGCATTTGGCAGTCTTAAGGCATAGTCCTAAAAGAAGTGGAAGTAAATAGGGAAGAGAAATGTGACGTAACGTTACCATGGTAGCACTATTTCTGGATGACAACAAGACCAACGGCGACGGCAAGGAGAACGGCAAAAATAGTATGTTTTTAACGACAAACACCAACTTTACATATGCATCACTCTATTTTGTACGTTTCTTTGCCGTCGTGGCACCACTACGACATGAAACTTCCTAATTTCGCGAGCCCGCTTTAAGGAGTAGGTGAACACAACACAAAAATTGTCGCTTTCTTTTTCTAACGATAGATACAGTCCTAAAGAAAATTTCGCCAAAATTTGCCAAATTAAATGAAACTGAGTAAGATCGGTGAAGTTTGAAATAGTGCGAATAGACTTTTAATTGACTTTATCGGTTTGTTGTCATCCAAAAATCTTGCACAGCAACGTGACGTAACGACTTTTCTGTATTATTTCATAAATTTAATATTCGCGTTTATACTTTCGTACGTTTATACGTATCGTGACGATGTAGTAGCTCACAAAATGCTGGATCATTGACATTCGCGAAAATGGTAACAAGCACAGTGCTAATTCCAACTGGCAGCTTACTGCCGAAGTTGCGGTCGACGAAAGGTATGGTATGGTTATGGTCAACCTTAGTGCCATTTAACGTTCATGGTTGATCATGGTCAAACCATGGTTATATCACTGCCAAACCATGGTAGGCGATGGTTGGAAACCGTGTTCAGCCTTGGTAAAACCGTGGTCTATCCATGGTCCTCTCGCCGAGGTTAAAAAGCTCACAAAATGCTAAATCATTGACATCCGTGAGAATTGGCAACAAGGACAGTGCTACTTCCAGCTGGCAGCTTACTACCGAAGTTGCGGGCGATGGGAAACGTCCGCAAGCCACTTTGTGTTAAGTGACCTGTGGAATAAATTGGAATCGGCGGCCTGTTTTCTCTGTTCCTCTGTTATGCCAGTTTACATCGATTACACGCACAAGTCACATAGAAAAAATAAAATTGAAACAACCGCATGTCTTTAATCTCTGATCACTGCTAGTTTTTCTGCCGGGAGAAATTAGTCAAGTTACCCCAAATTTTAGACAGATTTTGTAAATGTCAGTCAAACTGACGTCATTTTGTCTATGCGAGGAAGCTGTAATAAGCAGCCTGGGGCTCGTTTCTCGAAAGCCCCAGTAACTATCATACGTTTCTGGGAATCTGTACACCTACCAATCCCCTAAGCCAACATTTTTCCCTAAGTGAGAAGTAAGTGTTATTGTTAGCAAAGGGGAGTGGAGGGCGGGCAGTTTCCCAGAAACGTATGATTTTCGGGCCCCAAAGTAAATATTCAAATCAAAATCTAAGGAACAAAAGCGCGAGTTCTAGCTGTTAAGTGTAGCTTGTTTTGTTAATTGATAGTTTTAACATGTTTATCTGCAAAACTATTAACACCTCAATCTTGCAGGCTTCTATCCAGGATTTATCGTTTGAGGGAGAAGTCCGGAGTGGTTGAAGGTCATGAGCTCCCTAGAAGTGTCCGGGGTCATGCCCCCGGAAATTTTTTGAAATGAATTTGCGCCATGCAATCTGGTGCGTTTTGATAACGATATTTTTGGGGGGGAAGCTGGGCATTTTGGCGGGGGGAAGCTTCTTCCCCTCAAATACCCTAGATAAAACCTGTCTTGAATGTAAACAACAACAGCTTTCTGGGCGCGTTGATTATCGGGACTTTCGAGACACAGGCCCCAGGACGGCGATGGCAACCAGTGCGCGAAAAAAGCAATAGCTTTAATAAGACTAACAACTCTTCACGCGCGTCGCTCTTTACATTTCTTCGTCGTCACTGCACTACTACGACATGAGATTTCCTAATCTTACGTTTTATGTCCTTTTCCTGATCTTGGATGGTGAGCTTCAGTTCAACTCTAGAATTGACATATTGGTTGCTCTCCTTTAAAAGCTCCCTAATATATTTTGTACATCTTGAAGGGCTGGTTGCAGTTTATACTTAATTCGTTGTTCTCAGGGTCCCCTTCTGTTTCTTAGTTTTAAAATGTCGATTTGCTAGGCTCTTAAAGGATAACGGAAAACACGGCCTTCATCATGACTGTCTCATCCAAAAATTGTTAATTAATTGGTAAGCAGGTAATTGTTAAAACCAAATTTTTGTTCCTGGAGACATGATAGGTGAGTACGACGAAAAGGAAGTAGCCTTACTTGTTTATTCTAATGTACTGATCCTGGTGTCCCTGTAATTCTATCATGACATCAGCCTTATCTAACACAAACATCTTGATTTTTTTCGGGTCTAGTGCTCGGTGACGCAGAATCCAGTCTAGCATGGTCCCGGGTGTGGCAAATATTATGTGATCTGTGACTTTCTGACCTCTTGACACTGTAGAAAGGAGGAGGAAAGAAAAAGAAAATGTTTAGTCACGAAGAAGTCACACGGCCCAAGAAACCAAGCCTTGTTTAATATCTCCCACCAAGTGTTACATCAACTGTCTCGTTATACAAGCCAGTCTCTTAAGTTGACACTGAAACGAGGCTAATAGCAAACAATGCCTATTGTTATAGAAAATAACAACTCTAAAAACTGTTTCGAGTGTATGCATAATTCTTTACAAACGGTACAATACAAATTCAATGCCAACAGTGTTCAACCGTTTGTAAAGGCCTTTCCACCTTGCGCATTTTTTGCCTGGCTCCAGTTTCTCACCTTCCTGCCCCCTCACAGCATAACCAATCTTGACTTCAGGGCAGAATTTGCCCATCTTTTCTGCTACTTGTCCTGTTTGTAGTGCAAGCTCATATGTTGGTGAAATACAGATAACCTTGAAATGAAAAAAGCACAACCAATCGGTTCATTGCAACAATTCAGTTTCGTGGGGAAAAATTCATTAAAACTTTAATGTTTGTTTCTGGCCTAAAGATAACAAGTGAAAATTGACTTGTTTCCTGGTTGACCATCCCCGAAGACCCATGGACAGCTTACTATGACGAAATGTTTACGGACAAAATTGTTGCGAAGTTTAAAGGTTTACATGTACCTCAACAAATCTGTGAGTATGTTATTAAGATTGCAGGGGTGTAGAAAAAGCGAGCAATACGTCATACAGGAAGTAAAATGACACATTCAATAAAATATGTATGATGTAATAATACCTGAGGGAAGTTTTTTGCTGAATCCACTCTGCTGAGCATGGACAAAACCAATGCTGCCGTTTTTCCTGTTCCAGGCTGCGACTGAACTATCATATTGTTAGGTCTAAACATCAAACAAAACAAAGCAAACATGGCATACAATAGGCTACTTGCACTGAGAGGTCACGTGACCAATGCTTCCTTTAAACAATGAGTTGGAATCTTGCTGATGCCAAAAATTGACAGAGCACATAAAAATTATCTTACACCCGAAATTTGAGAGAAAACGCATTTAAGGTATGACACTGATTTTTCAACAAAGTAGTATGATTTGTATTGGCCGCCATGTTGTTTGCCCTCCAACATGGCGGCCAGAACTACTTTTTCTTATATCTTGTTTAACGTTTGATAGATACGCTCAAATGTGCTGTAAACGTTACCACATTATCTTTTCAACATTTTCCTTTAAGTGCAAAATTTGTGTTCCGAAAGAGGTAATTCATAATTTTAAAAATCACATTTTGGTCACGTGACCCGCTACGAACTTACTCGCTATCATTTTTTTTAAGATATGACCTACTAATCGTTTTTCGAAGGCAAAATCATATAACTTTCATTTTCATAAAAACGATGTCACATGGCCTCTTAGTGCAAATGGCCTATTGCCACCTGACACCCACAAAGAAACTTGATCCTGTTATAAAATAGACCAATAAAACAAAAGAAATCATCTTGAGGCTCAGTAATGAATAATACATATCTTTTGCTTTATTCCCTCAAGCCTCGGAGCCAAGTATGAATTTTAATCTATCGAAAATAGTCTATTGCCATTAATTTTTTTCTCACATCCCACATAATTTTTGTCTCTAGTAAACAGGTACAAAAATATTTCAGCCGAAATAATTCTGGTGTTTTGTTTTTTTATAGTCTAAAATTGATGATTATGTGAAAACTATAGGAAATTTTATGTGTTTTTGAAGATTATACAATGTCATGCAGTAGTAAAGACACTCGCGGATCAGCTAAGAGCATGAGTAGCGCTGTTTCTTGGATCTTAGAAGGTTTGTTAAAACCCATATCATAGAGGCCACGACGGAGTCGTTCTGACCTAATTAAAAAATAAAAATAGATAAAAACACAGTCTATATGTTAACAAAAGTGAACTGATAACAGATCCTTTCAAATATGAGAATAATTCTTTTCTCTGTCAGGAGGAAAGCTTTCGATCGCTGGACAGTACTTACAACGGTAATTCCTCAAATGACTTGACAGAGTGCAAGGGTGAACATGGGTCATTTCTCTGTACCTCAACCTCATTCTTGTTCTGAACAAGTTTACTTCTTAACACTTTCATCTGTAATGAATCATCTGCAAGGGCTATACCCTCATTTAGGTCTGTGGGGAAAACGACGGTGCACAATAGAGTTTTAGTATTGACGATAAGTACAAATAGAGCAAACTGACAGCAAGTATGACTGAGCTTGCATTTACTTTTAAATCCTATAGTTGGCGCTCACATTGGAACGACTTCTAACCTTGATCTCCTCGGGAGAAAGAGTTGAAAACAAGCGTGCAAAGTCAATTTAGATTGGTTTGCTGGAACACAATGGACCTTAGGAAGGTGGTAAACACATTAAGGACCATTAAGCTCGATCAATTTATTGACCAATAGAGGAGACAGCGTGGCCAAGCGTTTAGGTAGTGGCTGACTTCCCATTCGGACGCCCCGAGTTCACGTCCTGTCCTGTCAGGGAGTGTCCTCATTTTTCCCAAGTTCAAATCCCCAGCAACTTCCCAATGTATCCACGTATACTGGTATTGGAAAAAAATGATTAGAAACTTTTGGGGGACGTTGTTGGTCTAGTGAGCCGGATTTTAATGACTCGCGGCATCTTTACAGTGTTGTGCTACTTTTCTGCTTTTTTCACATAGAATTGTCAATGCTTTGTAATTTATGCGAAAATGATAAGCAAACTTTACACGATTATATCTAATAAACTACGAGATTCATCCCTTTATTTTGGGCATCGTTATAGCAGATGGGTCCTTACAAGTCAGCAAAACGCTTTAGGGCCTTGTAAATGCGCGCGATTTCCAGCAAAGCAAACATATCGAAATTATAGTTTCGCTATTTGTTGACGTTTGTCAGCGTTTAAGAGTCCTTCTCATGAGAAAAACATTTTCTTAAAAATTCGTAGTTTTTTTTCCTTCAAATTTTTTCAGGGCCACAAATGATTAACTAACTACCCGGACTCTGAATTTCATGGTCATTGAAAAACTGTAACATTATCTTCTATAAACCCAAACTTGAGTAAACATTGAAGATTTTTAGCGTTTTGGCTGAGTTTGTGCTTTGGGAGTTGTCTATTGTTTCTAGTCTGTCATTATACAGCATTCTTGTTCAGCACGCGTGCAATGACCGCGCTTGGCTGACTTGCGAATGCTCACCGAGACATGATAATTTAGTATGAGAAAATAGAAGGGATTCCCGTCAAGAGTTGATTTATTTATTGGCTTGCATTAAACCTATGAAAACATGATATTTTTTAAATAGTTCGTCGATTTAGTGTGTAGCACTTCCTGATTTTTTTGCAAAGGCACAAGAAGCACGAGAATTGAATAAAAATTGTGAGTTAAACCTCTATGTATCACGCGATGGCCTGTCTCACTGTACCAAAATTATCCACTTCTAAACACTGAAACCCTGTGGTTGAAGAGCTCAGTCACAGCAATTTCATCACGATCATTTACTGCCACCCCCCACGGCTTGTTAAGCATTCCAACAGACTCACCTTCTTGTCCAAATGATAGCTCAGGAATGTAACGCCTGGTTTGTACCTGAGCCTCAAAAGGACTGTCAGGAACTTCTGCCCCCGTGTTCCCAGCAATCCCAGCTGATTGTTGCGATTTAGTGTCGCTGAAAACAGTTTTGACATTACCTATGCCTTCACTGTTCAACGCGTTTATCACTACTTCACTTTCAGTGAAACTAAACCGAGGAATACATTCAGTATCACGATCTTCTTGGGTGCCCTGTTCCTGTAGGATTGTATCAAATGTTTCATTGAATCCAAGGATTTCTGTACTAAAGTTTCGTTTCATCAGAGATTCAGTTTGTTCAATTGCTGATTCAATTATTTTCACTTGATTTTCAGCTTCTTCTTTTTTCTGTGAGAGAGATTCCAGTGATTTTTTCGCTTGATTATCGACTGCGTCAAAAACATCTTGTTTTCTCGCTTCGATGATTGCAATAATTTGGTCTACACAAGACTGCACTTGGCTTTTTACCTCGGCTACTTTCGATTGAAATGCGATGCCTTTTTGGTTGAATTGTTCGACTTCCTTTTGTTTTTCCAGTACTTTGTCTTTCAAAGATAGAATCATCGAGTTGATCTGGGTTTTGCGCTCATCAGTAGCTTCTTGTAAGGGCATCTTACCATGACCTTCATGAAGCGTCATGGCACAAGTGCTACAAATGGCGACTTTACAGCCCTTGCAAAAAAACTTCAACTCTTCTTTTTCATGGTGTTTCTTCTGACAAAATGTTGGTCGCTCTAATACAGCCTTGACGTCTTGATCTTGAAAATCTTTTAGTGCTAGCGTTCTGTGGTCTTTATTTTCTCGAATCATGTTATGTCCTACAATACATTCTTCACACCAGAAGGAACAACACTGGAAGCAATATAAGGTCTGGGTGCTCCGTTTGTCGCAGTTTCTGCGTTGACTGTACTGCACTTTTTTATTGCTAAGACATCTAGCAAACTGTTTATTCGAAAATCGGTGGGAAGCTCGCTGGGATTTCCACTTCCAGAAACCTGAAACTGTCTCCTGCACTCAGGACACGTAATTTTACCACGGACGCCGCTCGTTCGTTGAATTCCGTTCAGGCAGTGAAGACAGAAACTGTGCAAACAAGGCAACTGCTTTGGATCAGTGAACTGACACATACACACAGAACAGGATACTTCATCATGAAGATTGTCCAGCAAGGTCTTTATATCCATGGAAAAGTTTGGGATTGAGTTTGAAATACTCTATAAAGCTTGTTGTTCGCGATACGATGTTTTAAATCGGATTTTCAAAGAACCCAGCCCACGTAATGTCCTCTGACCCGGACCAAGGAATCGGCTCCTGCCCGGACTAAACTTTATTTTATCAACCAATCAAACAGAGTCTCTTCTATTGTTTGACATTTTGACGCAATATCCTGTTTTTCTTAGAACCGTTGATCTGCTCTACAAGGCATGGCTTTCGCAATTTTTTCGTCACATTCTTAAGAAAAACGAACCATATTTTTCCTAATTTCTGCCTGTTGATTAGACAAGTGTTGACAAACCACAGGACACCCAAGCTAGCGCGTGAGAGCACGTTGTGTAACAAAAGTATTGTAAGGGTTTGTGTGGCGATTTTAGCAATCGTAATATAGAGGTCAAAAATAGTAATAAAAATACATGAGAACTTCTTATGCTGTCTTGTTATACTTATGGTGTGCTCTTAGCATTTTGGGCCTTACTAAGACACGCGAAAATCTTGCTAAAACGGCAAAAATAAACTGCATAAATAAACAAGGAGGCAAGGTAAGAGGTTCTAAAGCGTTTTAACCGCTGTTCTGTACTTATAAATAACGCTCACTAAAATCCCCACACAAACCCTTATCGATGTTTCTTTTACTCAACAACGATTCTCACTCGTGAGCTTGGCATACCTTGGACAAAACGCCGTGATCTTTTCCAGTGTCTTTCAAAAGGGCTTGGAAACTAGCAGCAAAATGCTTTTCATTTTGGGAACACTTTCGTTAAAAAATGCCCTGTTCACTCAAACGCCTTGGGCTAATGAAAAATATGCACCCGTACTGCGATAGTTAAACCTTGCTTGCATCGGCGTCAAGGTGCAAAGAAAATCATTTTTACAGCTTGCCATTCGGGCAAGCTGAAGCTAGCATTTACTAGCCCAGACGTCATTTCAACCAGCCCCAAAAGCTTTTCGTCGAGCAGAATTGATTTCACCCTTCTTCTGTAATTCGAATTCCTCAAAGAACATCACTTGCCCGTCGGGCAAGTTAATAACAGATTTCACTAGCCCGATAGCAAAATCCACTACCCCATGCTATCGGACACTACTTTCTTTGCACGCTGATCGGCGTGCACATATTGTTTCTATGCTACACTGAAATGAAACAACACAACAGACATAACAGAGTATAATACTATAAACGAAGTAACAATTTCTTTTATGAATGGAGCAATAGGAACGTTGCAACTGATTATCAATCCCCTCTACAATATCTCATCAAAGATGTCCATGAAATGTTTGCGCCAGCTAGAACACAACGTTTGTCGAAGGAGGTGTTACACAAGGAATGATTCGAGGGCGTTTCGTAAAGTCAGCAATGGCTCTCGTACGTTCTTCAGTCCGTAATGTACCTGTAGTCCTTAGCAATCTTCAACTGTTTATTATCCCGTAAAAAACGTAGACTGCGAGCAGTCTCTCTTGTTCTTCAGATTCATTGAGGGGAGTGCACGCGGCGAAGCCGCGAGCCTTCAATCACTCACGTGGTCATTTTCGTTTCGCTCGACGGACTAATGAAAAAGAGAGACTGCTTGTAGTCTCTGAAAAACGATTTGCTACATTCAAATAAAAGCTTTACGGCCAGTAACACATTTCAAAAGATAACTAATCCATAATTTCATCCATAAATATAACTGAAAAGCAAACAGCTACTAGTATTTTCTGAAAAACAAATAAGTTGCTAAGTATCCCGTTGGACGCAAAATACAGCATAGCCATTGATTAAGTTAGATTATTAAAACTACCATGTACAGAACACTGTTATATCACGCTTGTTGAAAATCATTTACACACCTCACCAAAGCGCTGCAAATGTTCTATAGGAAGTTAAACTTCTAGGCTGGAATGAAATCCTTAGAGAGACTTTTGCCTAAGGTTTCAAAAGCTAATTCCTTGTGTAACACTTGTTGTTAAATAACTCTTATCTATTTCCATAACTTTGGCGATTCAAGTTAGTTGCCCAGTTTCTCAAGTTCATCGACGTCATCAGCCTGCAAGAGCGTTATTTTCTTGCCAAAATGTTCTTCGATTTTCTTCATGATCGTCATAGACCGCTGACCATCAACAAAGTTGACGGCAATGCCGCTCTTGCCAAACCGGCCAGTCCTGCCGATCCTGTGCAAGTATGTTTCGAAATCCGGTTTACCCGTGGGCTCGACTGGCATATCGTAATTTATTACGACAGTAACCTATGGCAACAAAACAAAAAACAAAACAACATCGTATTACGAAGGGCCCGTTTACATGGAGGTAGGGGACCCCAGGTAGGTGGTGTAACCTGCTTAGGTGGGGTAACCCCTCTGTCCATATAATCTCTCATTTTAATTTGATCACATTTACATGTAAACAGGCCCTAAAGCCTCACTGGCGTCACTAAGGAATTGTGGGGGGGGGGGGAGGGAGGCTATGTCACAAGGGAATTGCTCTGTTTGATCAATTCTGTGCTCAACTCATTACGTAGTCCCTTAACCCTTCAAGCCCTAATATCCACATACAAATTCTTCAAACTGATCTCCATACATTTCCTTAAAGAATGTGTTGAGAGAATTTGTTAAAAGATCACGGCATTTTCTCTTAGGTCTCTTTATTTTACTAGTTCTCTTAACCTAATCTCTTGACATTTATTTATTTATATGGATATCGTCAGGAGAAAATTGATGTTGGTCAACATTGGGACTTAAAGGGTTAACCCATACAAAAAATGCTCCTATGGAGTCACGAAGAGGATATCAAACAAATTTCATCAGGGAGCACTGAAAATAATAACCTTTTGGTAGTTTTGGCAGACAGAGAATCAAAATTTGAAAACTGGCCCAATCACTATGGTCTAAAATAAGGTAAGTTAAGGAGCATATTACATACCATACATCCCTACCCTAATTTTCATGGAGTAACATACAGTACCTACCCGCACTCTTACTTGGCTCCTACTTAGTATTTTATATCCAATACGATTTATGTTTTTTACATTTTTCATTGCTGTTTAAAATTCTGGTACCTTACTGTGATTTCCGATGTCATTGCATATTATGATTTTGTCATGCACAAACCCAAAATCTACGTTTTAATACTAGGGGGTGGGTCATTGATTCTAATGGTGGCCAATACGTACTTACCTGTTCCACATCAATGCCTCTGGCGATGACATTAGTTGTTATCAGCAGTTTCTCCTTGCCATCGCGGAATCTGTTTAATACTGCTAGCCGCTGTTCCACTGTGATCTCGCCTGACAACAGCACTACTGAATGACCATCCGCTGTCATCTTCTCTGCCAACCAAGAGGCGGCCTTCCGAGTCTGAAATGACACAGGCATACACAAATGTAAAAGCATCCTGGTGTTACGAAAAATTTCCCAAACAGCAACTAAAATTTAAGCTGCTTTGCAGTCGTTTCCTGGGGTGAGGAAGGATTTGGATGGGAATCAGGGGAAAGGTGAAAGGGAAAAGGAGGGGGAGGGAAGGAATTTATTTTAACACTTACCTGACAGAAAACGATACACTGTCCAATAGACACAACGCCATACATGTTGGAGAGGGCCTGGAACTTATCCTCTTTGTCACGACACACCACATAGTACTGCTTGATATTGTCCAGGCTCTCCTCTTCCCGACGTAGCCGAATGATGATAGGGTCTGGTACTACGTCCTTGGCAAATTTTATCACCTCGTCGTCGTAGGTTGCAGAGAAAAGAAGCATTTGGCAATCTTTAGGCAGGGTCCTAGAACAGAGGAAATACATTATCTGTTAAGTTCAGTATTCGCATTGAAACTAAAGCGGGGTAAAAATGACAACCTGCCATTGGCTACATGCCCTTGGAACCTGTCACACTAGTCTCTCAGTGGGGAATATTAAAGATCAAAAAAGACAACTTAAATGAATGGAGTTCCCTCCAAGGAAGAAAGAGGTGGGTGGGTGGAAGGAAGCAAACAAAAGGGAAAAGAGAGGTAAAGCTATTCGAAGCAAACCAGAAGACAAACCTCTGTGGAAATGAGACAAATACATATGCCCAAGTCGATCATCTGCTGACCAACAGAAAATTTCCCGGTAACTATTATTATTGATAATCTCATTGAAAGGACGTAAGTATGACAAAAGGGAAGTAGCCTTACTTGTGTATTCTAATGGACTGATCCAGGTGTCCCTGACATGCCATTATGACGTCAGCCTCAAGTAACACGAACATCTTGATTTTTTTGGGGTCCAGTGCTCGGTTGCGGAGAATCCAGTCTAGTAGAGTTCCGGGTGTAGCAAATATTATGTGATCTGTGACTTTCTGACCTCTTGCCACTGTAGAACGGAGGAGGAAAGGGGATTAAGAACATTAAAGGCTGTATAGGTCTGTATGTGGAATACACATGTACAATAATTATTTTCTTTACCGACAAAATAAAAACAATGCTTAACCTTATTTAGAGGCCTTAACCACGGTTCAAAGAAGGTCAGTTTAACAGTTTGCCATTTGGGTAAGCTGTAGCTAGTCCCAAAGTCATTTAACCAGCACAAAAAAAACTTTGTTGCGAAGGATTGACTATCAACTCCCCAAAAACTTCACTTGCCGATCAGGCAAGTTAAGACTAGAATTCGCTAACAGGATAGCAAACTCCACTAGCTTCAGGCTATCTTACCTTACTTTCTTTGTAAGCTTCTTAACACCAACCTCTCCCCACCCCCGCCCCCGCCTGCTTCTAAGGACAAGTGAACTCATCAATTAAAATTATTCAACTTCTCTTAAGGAGACCTCAGGCCTATGTTTTGCCCGTATTTTTTCTGGCTCAAGTTTCTCACCTCTCTCCCCCCTCACCGCATAACCAATCTTCACTTCAGGGCAGAATTTGCCCATCTTTTCTGCCACTTGTCCTGTTTGTAGGGCAAGCTCATATGTAGGTGAAATACAGATAACCTTGATAAAAGCACAAAAAAATCAGTTCATTGAAACAATTCAGCTTTATATGAACAAATTCATCATCTAACACTTCATGTTTGTTTCTGATGTAACACTTTCACCACTAAAGAAGAAGATGGAGTTTTTAAGTGGTTTGTACTTTTGAGTCTTTAGACGAAATCCTACAGTGTGACCAATCACCATTCAAATGACACCAATTTGGCCGTAGACCAAGAGCAGTCTCTTTTTTTGTTAGTTTGTTGAGCGAAACAAGCGAGACACGAAAATGAAGCCATAACACTTACACCTTATTTTACAGTTTCACACTTTTGCGCATACCTCAACAAATTTGTGAGGTTTTTTGACAAGTTGTGCTGGGGCAAGGAACATACAGGAAGTAAAACGAAATAATACCTGAGGGTAGTTTTTTGTTGCATCTACTCTGCTAAGCATGGACAAAACAAATGCTGCAGTTATTTCTGTCCCATACAGTGATTGAGCTATCATATTGTTTGGTCTAAACATCAAACAAAAAAGCAAACATTTATACAACTGCCACTTCATACTCACCAAGACACCTCCCTAAGTGTTGCGCCTTAACGTGAAGGGGAGGTTCGTGTGCCTCAATGACCCTGAAAACTAAACTGTAAAGCACTTGGGACCTTGCTCCTTGGTGCCGGTTCAACTGTGTTGGACAGGGTTTGGGTGAAAGGCCAAGCCCCAGTTGTTTAAAAGTTGGATAGCACTATCCACCAGATAAATCACTACCCAACAGATACATGTTAGCCAAAATTAAAGGGAAACCAATTGCACTGTCTAGTGGATAGTGATTTATCCTGTGGATAGCCTTTTGAACAACTGGGGCCAGATAAATAAAATTGCAATGCCTAGCCCCACCAGGTTGTGGGTTAAACAATAGGTTAATGTCTCATTCCCGTAATAAAAAAAATTTAACTGATATCAGAGACACTTTCAAGGACAAGTCAGGCCTTACGCATAACAGAGCGTGAACAGGAGAGTTAAGGTAAGCACCTATCAAGAAAAGAGATTTATTCATGATTAATGTTTTATCTCACATCTTACATCACGTCTTTTTTCTTGATATTGGGTACAATGTATATTTTCAGAAATAAATTATTCTGGTTCTGTGGTTTTTCTAGTCCAGCAGTGTTGATTATGTGAAGACTGTGAACAATATTATAAAATTAGTTCAAGAGATTATACAGTGTACGTGCAGTAACTCACGGATCAGCTAAGAGCATGGGTAGTGCTGTTTCCTGAATCTTGGATGGTTTGTTAAAACCCATATCATAGACACCACGACGGAGTTGTTCTGACCTAATAAAAAGAAAACAACACAGATATTTACATTTATGTTAAGTGACTGATAAACCTTTGAAATTTAAGATCTTTTCATGTAAAGAGGAAAACCAATCGAATGGCGGTCAGTACTTACAGCGGTAATTCCTCAAATGATTTGACAGAGTACAAGGGTGAACTTGGGTCATTTCTCTGTACCTCAACCTCATTCTTTTTCTTAACAAGTTTACTTCTTAACACTTTCATCAAAAAAGAAGCATCTGCAAGGTCTGTAGCCTTAGTCAGCTCTGTAGAAGAAACACAATGCACAGTATGGGTTTTAGCATTTACAAAAAGTAAAAATAATGGTAATAGGAGTGAGTGGAGTCCACTACAATCTTTAATCATATGAGTTTAACAAAATCGATGACCACATAGCGGAAGTTCGATTTGTTGTATGATAACGGACCGAATCGGACGACACGAAGTTCTGTTACTAATTAATCATAACTATAACAAAATTTGTGAGATTTGATCCTTATTTTAAAATCAAAACATGAGAAGTTATGAAAGCTTTTCCTAGAAGTGACAAAAAAAAGCCATTTACGTGCGCGTGCCCAATGGCGCGGACTGTCCTATTACACCGTCAAGGTGATGTTACACGGGACGATTTCAGCGCAGCACGGCATTGCAACATTGATGCGACGTTGTTTCGAATTTTTACATTGTTCCAACATTGCAAAGCTGTGTTGCGCTAAAAGTCGTCCTTGCGAATCGTCCCGTGTAACATCACCTTTAGTGCTGAAATCAGGACAGTTGATAGCCAATCAGATTTGAGAAATTTGTTATAGCTATGATTAGTAATATGAATGATAAGGTATTACAAAATATGAAATATGACAGCTAGCGTCACTGAGCTTCCAATTTTTTGTACCATTACCCTCTTCTTCTGTATTAGCTTGCTTCTCCTCTGTTGGTTTAGTGGTACTTGTGTTACTTAATTTCAACTTATCAACCTGGAAATAGTGAAAAAATATATGAAAGTCAAAAGGGGTGTTAATAGTAGCCCGAGAAAAAAGCCAAAATTTTGGGCCACCATCACTGTTTTCCATGTGGGGAATGAGTGCAGAAATTCCATGCTGATGATGAGTAACTACCCAGATATGGGTAGTGCTTCTGATTTGTTGTGCTGTAAGGGAAATTGCATTAACCAATCAGAATCACTACACAAATCTGGTTAGTGAAATGCCATCAGTCTAGAGTTTCTGCTCTTGTTCCTCAGAGGTCATTTCCTGGGAAAACCAGCGGTGGCATCACAAAATGTCATTGAATTGTTGGCTTTTTTCTCAGGTAAATCTCCCGACAATACTACTCTTAATGATCATTAGATCTCTTGCTTATTTTTCCTATCATCACACATTATGTAAGGCAGCGTTTACACTCGGTGCTCAAGTACAGTCCTCGCTGGGCACTAATGTGAATGCACCATTTTTTTTCAAGTACCCACGCTAGAATTCGGGCACGTTTCCGGTGCCCGAGTACAAGGTCTTGACCTTGTTCTTGGGCACAAAAGTGGGAACTGGGTCCCTGTCTGCACACAATTTTTGTAAGTTCCGGGCAGTCCACTGCTTTGCTGTTACTGCTAAGCTCATGTTTCAAAATGGAGTCTGACAGGGCAAAATGGGGTAATTATGTACACAGTCACATATCGGGTTCTCTAAGTGGGAGCACAGCACTATTCTGTGCCGGTACTCAGGCACTGGTTCCCAAACACTTAGTGAGGACAGCCCCTAAGGTGTGGTGAATGATGAAAAATTTGACATTTAAAACATAATTTAACACAAGTGAAAATCCTGGCGGGAGCCAGAATGTTTAATTTTGAAATGCCCATGATCAGAAGGAAGAGGAAGGGATGCTTGCAATTGACGGGCCTTTAATACCAAAACCCTTGAAAAAAAATGATCGTTTTTCTTGGCCATCTCTGGTTAAAAAGCTGCATATCAGTTCTTGAACAAGGAGACTTGTCCAAAATATCTTGCTGTATCAGTGATTTTATCCACTACCACAACGTGAACATGAAGGTGTAATATATTCTACACTCTTCTTTTTTCCCCAGGGCCGAGTTGTTCAAAGCTGGGTTAAGATAACCCAGGGTTAGTGCAAGATTTTAATTAAGATTTGAAAGCTTAAAAAGCATTTCAGTTTTAATTCATTTTGTCTACAAGTTGATGATTGAAAGCTCTAAAAATAACAGAGAAAATTATCCAAGAAAGTGCTTTTGGACAGAAGAAACAGAAACCCGGGTTAAGCGCTAATCGGCCTTCGAAAAACTGGGCCCAGATCGACATGTCTGCTGAAAACCCTGCATCAAAATGAAGCCACCATTCAACGGTTTGATGGGTTTTATAATTTATACATGAAAAAATTCGACAGTTAGAAAAATTAAAAATTACAGAAAATGTACGGAAAAATTGAGGTCTTCTGAAGACTCATCACGGACTTCTCCAGATTTAGTGTATTGTTTCTTTGAACTAGTAACTTACTCTTTTCGAAGAGAAAGTTTCAGATATATGGATTCAGGAAGAAATAGCGGGCTTTGAATTCTAATACAAATCTTCTAATTTCCCGCATCTTTCCCTGATTACCCATGATGCAACTATAAGCGTGAACTCCTCTATAAAGCCTTATGGAATTCTAAACGCAGCGACAGTAACTTACTTCTCCAGAGATTTGCCGCTCTTGCTCATCAACTTCAGCCGCCCAGTCTTCATCAGCGGTAGTCATTGCTACAAGAAAATTTCGTTAATGAACAGTAAAACGAAAGATATCTTCCCGAAGACTGGCTGTAGCCTGAGAAAACCGCCGACATTTGGCGACGCTACCACTGGTTTCCCCGCCAAATGACGTCTTAGAAACGAACGTAGAAATTCCATACCGATAACGCGTCACTACCCAGATCCGCGTAGTGACGCGTCATCAGTATGGAATTTGTGCGCTCGTTTCTCAGATGTCATTTGTAGGCTTGGATAAATTCTGCCGGAAGAATAAGCCAATTTTGAGGCGAGTATTCTGCTGGGAGAATAAAACATTTTCGAGCAGAATTAGTTTTTAGGGGTTAGGCTCAGGCTCCCTTCTATATTTGCGGAAATAAATATGGCCCAAGGGGCTGCACATTTTTTCGGTTACCGAGCAGAATTCGAGCAGAATAAGGGTGTCCCAGCAGAATTTTGAGCAGAATAGGCGATTTTTACGAGCACCGCCGGCAGGCAGAATAAGCCATTTTACGAGCAGAATTTATCCAAGCCTAGTAATTTGGCGGGAAAACCAGTGGTAGCGTCGCCAAATGTCGGCTGTTTCCCTCAGGCTATACTGGCTGTTGATCTTGTAAACTGTGATCTGTTTCCGATTTTTTTCAAATAGGCTTGGGATTTGGTAACACCAATCAATAAAATGTCGTGAAACCATGGATAATAGAAAGACTACTATCCATGGTGAAACCGCTGAGCATTCCGTGAAAACCTTATTCCTTCGGGAAAATAAGAAAAAGAAACGAACGTTTGAAATTGCCATGAATACTTTATATAAACTGTCAACGAAATACGTTTCCACTAGGTTTTTAGCTCTGCATATGCCCCAAAAGTTTCAGCAACGTTCTTCGGTAACAGATCGATAAATTTTCGGGATATACTCGGAAGTTGCTTCGCAAAGGATATAACGAGTACGGCAGCGGACATTAACCTGAGATCAGGCGTTGTTTTTTTATTTTGTTGCTTTTTTGCTTCTCTGGCTCAAGAGGGAAAAAAAATAACGCCTGATACGTTCATTTAACAAGCCGTCAACCGCCCCCTAATTTACATAATCTAACGTCTGCAGATTTTTATGCAGGGCTGTCAAAAAGTTTTTAAGTAGCAGCGTGATAATGAATAGTAGACGGCTTTGGAACTCGCACCAAAGGCATCTAGCGATATTTTGAAATTGAGAGTCTCGAAAATGGTGTTTCCAGGGGTTTTTAAGTGGTGTTTTCCACTGCGGCCGCCATGTTGTTTTGTCAGAATAAATAATAATAATAATAATAATAATAATAATAATAATAATAATAATAATAATAATAATGATAATGATAATGATAATGATAATGATAATAATAATAATATTTAATATTTTTATAGTGCAAACTAACATACAGGGCCGGGATGTTCAAAGCTAGGTTAAAATAACCCAGGGTTAGTGCGAAATTTGAATTCAGATATGAAAGCTTAAAAAGTAAATTCAGTATAATTTTTTTGTCAACTAGTTGATGATTGGATGCTTTTAAAAATAACAGAGAAAATTATCAGAGAAAATCTTTCTGAGCAAAAGAAAAAGGAATCCGGGTTAAATTTAACCCTGGGTTAAGCGCTAATCGGCCTTCGAACAACTGGGCCCTGGAGGATATGATCAAATGCGCTTTACATATTAAAATTGAATCCAAAATTACTATGTTACCTATTTACAATTTTGATTTACAATAAAATGCGAAGATGCATACTATATGAAACACTAAAAAGAAATTATAAATTAAACGCTTCTCTAAAATGGTGAGTTTTAAGCAATGACTTAAAGGTGTTATAATTTTGCTGTGACTGTAATAATTTCGGGAGACTGTTCCAAATCTTGGCGGATGCACTGGAAAAGGCTCGATCACCAAGCGTTTTTTTCTATCGTCGTAAATGGTCTTCCAACTGGATACTGGTGCTCGAGCGGAGGTTGTATGTCGAAGTCTTCTTGATGGCGACCATGCTTTTTAGATAATTGGAGGCGTGTCAATGAATGCACTGGAAACAGAGCATAGCAATCTTGAAATTGATTCTAAACTTAATCGCAGCCAATGAAGACGTATAAATGACGATGTGACGTGTTCATGTCTTGGCAATGAGCGTTTATCGCCCCATATTCCGGCGCAGAAATCTGTTTATTTCCCTCGAAGGGGGATTCTCTTCAAACATACATTCCGCCATCTTGAATTTTGCCAAAGCCAAAAAAAGATTCTTTGATTTTTCTTACTTTGGCAAGTGTTCAGAACCTGATCCACCAAATCTGATTTACAACGTAAATACTCTCCACTAGAAGAGAATATGTTCATTAATTTGTTACCTTTATCAGTAACACTAATATCACCGTTGTCATATATTGATAAACCTTCAGGGTTTTTAAGCTGGCGATCAAGACTTCCATATTCACCAAACTTACGAAGAAACCTACCATTTCTATCAAAGACTTGAACCCTGTGGTTTTTGCAGTCTGTCATTATAATACTAGAAATACGTATCTCG